GACGAGGAGGGGGAGGTGGCTGAGGCGCTCAGGTGGGCGGAGTGGAGGGCGCGATGCCTCGAGCGTGTGTGCGGGCGGCGCTGCATGAGGCGCCATGCATTGTGGGGGTTCCGAGGGCGCTGGGCAGACGAAAGCACGACGTCATCGCGCGTGCACTCGCGCCCACCGCCGCTGCCCGGAACCCCTGCTGCGCCGTCCAAGGGATCAGAGAGACAGAGAGAGATGGTGTGTGTGTGTGTGTGTGTGTGTGTGTGTCAGGAAGAGAGGGAGCAAGAGGCGCAGAGAAAAAGGGCGGTGTGTCGCAGCAAGGTACCATTCTTGCTGCAGCCGCGGCGGGCGCCGCCAACACTCCCAGGAGGCCTGAGCACGCCCGGGATGCAGGCACATGACGGTGTCCCCCTGCTGATCCCTGTCCACCCAGGCGTTCCCTGGAAGAGCAGGCGGCCGAACAGGCGCAGCTGCAGCAGGCCCTGGCCGCCAGCCTGAGCCAGGAGGAGCCAGGGGCCGGCGACGTCGCGGTGGCGGAGCAGCAGCCAAAGGCGGAGCAGCAGCAGCAGCAGCAGCAGCAGCAGCAGCAGCAGCAGGTGGAGGAGCAGGCCCCGGCGGCCGCAGCGGCGGCGGCCTCCCCGCCGGGCGGCAAGGCGCGGGGGCGCGGCAAGGGGAAGGCGGCGGCAGCGGCGGCGGCGGCGGGGGCTGCGGCGGCAGTGGCGGCGGGGGTCAAGCAGGGGTCTGAAGGCGGGGCCGATGCAGGAAGCAGCGAGGTGGGGGCACACAAGTCGACGCGCTTTGGGCGCGGGGCCGACTGCACGACCCCCGCCTGCTATCCTGACCGCTGCATCGCGCGTCCTGCTGCAATTCCCCATCGCCACTTGCAAGATTTCTTTGGGCCTAACTTGCCACACGCTCTGGCCCTGCGCAACGTATTGTCTGCGTCTTTATGCAATGCCCTTGCCGCTGCCCTGCAAAATACATGTACTACTGCAACGCAAAGCACCATACCACCCATGCTATGCTCTCCTCTGCACTGCACAATACGGCAGGACCAGATCGTGTCTGGCAATGCCTACATGCTCGTCTACAAATGCACCGCCTGGCAGCCGCCTGCGCCCGCCGCCTATGCCGCGGTCGCGAACGGCGGCGGCGCCGCGGCAGCGGCTGCGACAGGCCCGTCGGGCCCGCCGCCGCTGGACAGCCTCCCAGAAGACGTGCAGGCGCGTGTGGCCCGGCTATCGGCGGAATACGAGGAGGCAGTCGCGCGCCACGCGGAGCTGCGGGCCAAGGCCGAGGCGTCGGTGGCGGAGCGGCAGCAGGTGCGCTGGACAGGAGGGGGCGCTCAGCAGGCGGGCCGTCGGGAGGGGGCCCTATCTGCCGCGGCGCGTGCAAGAGGAGCGGCAGTGCGCTGTGTCGTGCGCGCTGCGTCGTGCGCGCTGCGTCGTGCGCGCTGCGTCGTGCGCGCTGCCTCGCCACTGGTCACGCGACACCACCCCTTCCACTTCCATGTCCCTCGCTTGATGGAACCCTCTTTGGGACAGCAACACCAGCACTGTAGCACGCCTCAAATTCTCGGCTGCCGCCTCACACCGTCTCAGGAAGTCCGCGCCACGCTGGCCGCCGCGGCGCCGCCGCCCGACGCCGACCCCGACGCGCCCCCGCCCGCGCTCTTCCTGCCCACCGCGTGGCTGGAGGCCTGGGCCGGCGCGGACCGACCGCCGGGGCCGATCGTCACGGCGCCGCTCGCGTGCGAGCACGGGGCGCTCGACCCGCACGCGTGGCAAGCAGTGAAGCTCGTCAGCACGGACGCGTGGCGGGTCATGGCGGTGGGTCTCTCTCCTGGAATTCAAACAAACTCAGTCAACGCGCCCCTTGAGCTGCCGGCTGGGGCGCTGTGGAGCAGCGATTTGGCCCCAAGCCTGATGACGGGCGCCTCCGCCTGACATGTTATTTGCTTGGGGCCGTGTGCATGCTGCTGTGCTTGCCTGTGCCCTGAAAAGATGGTTGCTGGGGGTCGTGTGACGTCATCGCCACATCATGTTTACCCCACCAGGCCAAGCACGGCGTGGAGGGCCCCGAGCTGGGGCCCGGGGACCTGTGCCTGCAGTGCGTGGCGCGGCAGCTGCGGGGCCTGGCCAGCGCGGACAGCGCGGAAGACCTGCGGGCGCAGGCGCTGGCGTTGATAGCCAAGGTGGGGCGGGTGTTGATGCACGTTCATGCAAGGAACGGGGCTTGTGGGCTTGCATGGGGGAGTCACAAGGGAAGCGGGTGCTGAGGAGGTGCAAGGGTGACACCCCTGATGGAGCAGCGCCACTAGGCCGCGGGGGCGCGGCTTGGAGGGGCTCGCCGTCCCTGCTTGTCGTGCTTCGTCTGTGCGGGTCACCCACCTGTGCTTATCACTCCTCGGCTCGTCTGCATGCCTGCTACCCTGAGAGTGTGCTCTGAGTGTGTGCTCTCGCTCTCCCGCGTGTGTGCGCTCGCATACACACAACATGTCATGTACACCAGCTGGAGGGCAGGGATCAGGAGGAAATCTTGGAGGCAGGGGATGCTTACTGGATCTCCAAGACGTGGCTGACAGGTCGGTGCCTTTGACCGGGTATGACCACGCATTGACCACGTTTGACCGACCTCAGAGAGGGTTTGACCGCAGCTGACCACGGTCACAGCGGGTTGTTGTTGCGTTGCGGTCAGGGTCAACCCTAGGGTGTTGAGGGTCTCAGCGTTCCGACGACTGGGCTTGCTCTTGTTCTCAACCTTTTAACCCTATTCCCTCACCTACGAGCTTCCTTGACCACGCACCCCAGGCTTCGTCAAGCGGGCCCCTGGCAGCAAGGCGGCCCTGTCCCCGCCCACCGCCGCCATCGCCTGCCCCCACGGTCGCCTCGTCCCCGAGACGGCCGCCGCCGGCACCAAGCGCGCCGCCGTGCCGGGACGCCTATGGCGGCTGCTGCGGCAGATCTGGGAGCAGCACGCGCACGCGGCGCGTTGCGGGAACGGCGGCGGCGGGGCCGGCGGCAGCGGCAGAGGCGCGGGTGCAGGCAGCGGGGTGATAGATGCTGCCAAGGCGGCCCGAGCCAAGGCCAGGCAAATCGAAGCGGCCCTCAAGGCGTCGCTGGGCGGCGGCGACGCCGGCGCCGCCGCGCCGACGGCGGCAGGGGCTGCGGCAGAGGCGGCAGGGGCTGAGGAGGGCGTCAAGCCGGGTGCGTTGGGTGGCAGGGGGCCGAGGCCGGTTCTGAGGCGCAGATGCACCACACCTGCTGTCGCTTAATGAAATGCTGTGCAGAAGCTGCTGCAAAGCTTGTGCCACCAAGCAGGCTTAGAAGGCTTCCATGCTCACTGTGACGCGCTCCCCACCAGGCGCACTGGACGGCGGCGCCGTTGGCGACGGCGGCGGGGCCGGCGTGGGCGGCGAGGACTCGGACGTCGTCTGCGTCGGCGAGGACGGCCCCCAAGGCGAGCAGCAGCAGCAGCAGCAGCAGCAGCAGCAGCAGCAGCAGCAGCAGCAGCAGGCGGCCAGCCAGGACGAGCAGCAGCAGCAGGACCAGCGGTGCAGCGGCGGCGGCGGCGGCGAGGGCGGCGATGGATTGCGGGAGCCGTGCCCTGAGTTCAAGGCGTTTGAGGTGGCGGAGTGTCAGGAGTGCGGCGGCAAGATGCAGGCCGCCCTGGAAGGTGGGGGGTGCAGGGGGAGGGGG